CTCTCTCTCTCTCTCACACACACACACACACACACACACACACACACACACACACACACACGCACACACACACAAAAAAAAAAAGCAAAAAAAAAGGCAAGCAAGCAATCAACCAATCCTTGGTCAATTGATTGATTGACTTTTCTGTGAGGAACGAGCCCTCAAGTGGCCCTATCAGACATCACATTGTTCTGGGATAAGGCCCCATCAAGCCAAGTGCCCGCCCTAAGTGAAGGCGGGCCTGAATATTCGTCACAGGCCAAATTCGACATTTCCACATGTAGGTATTCAGGCTCTCGCAGCGCGTTGCGCGAGCCTCACTAAGCTGCGTCGTACAGTTGGCCCAGGCCACGAAAGTTGTGCCTGGGCATATACACACAAAGCAGGGCCGATACATTGACAAGCAGGCCGTCGGCCTTTGGGAAAAACAGTACTGCCGACGCATCTATCCGGGGTCCCTGCGCAGATACAGCCAACAGCCAGGCCGTGCCCAACTGAAAAGGGCCCAGGCCCTCGACTGTAAGTCTCGGGCCTGGGCACAGGGTCTGGGGCCCAACCGGAAGCTTCTGGAAGCTTCCAGCCAGGCCACACGCAGCATCCAAGAGGCTGACACTTCCATAAAGGAAGTGAGGCAGCCCAGGCCAGACACACTGGCCAGCGCTGGCAATGCGGAAGTGCTGCTGCGCTAATGCCAGGGGCGCTGACGGAGCGCTAGGTGGTGAGAGGGGCGCTGCAGGGCAGCGGGGCGCAGGCGGCCATAGCCGGGCTGCTAGGCGCCAGGGGTACAGCGGATGATCGGGGGGTCTACAGGGAGTGAGGTGCTGTGTGGCATAATCAAGGTCTGATTGAGGGTGACGAGATACATACCTGGTACATGGAGAGAGGTCGCCGATGGTGTTGACAGTCATGTATATTGGTCTTCGTGAGCCGAAGTGATCCTGTTGTGTGAACCAGCTGTAGAGTAGGATAGTGTGGTAGAATAGGCTGGGCGCTGTGCGCCAGACAGAGAGAGTGACTCTGGATACTGTGTTGGTGTGGCCTACGGGCTTGGACATTGGATCAATACTTCGTTGTTTTGCTCTTTATGGATGGTTTTCTCGGTGCATTTGTACTCTCTACTTGGGATACTACTACTTGCTCAGCTTTGTGATTCGCAACTCGGTTTTATGTATATCGCTCACACTCATATTCCTTGCAATTTGGTATCAGAGCTGGTTGTGATCGCCGCTTACCTGGCATCGGTGACATTGTGACTTGGTGCGCTGACGATGCTTCATGTGCAGTGAGGATACTTTGCGCTGGTTGAATAGTGGGGCCTGGGTAGAGAGGCCGGCCGCTGGAAGGCTGTGGCGACAGCGTGGGAGCTGTGGCGACAGCAGGTGTATGCATGATGATGAGAGTATGCTGACATGGCATTTTGGCTGAGGTGGCACTACATTGCGTTGTGGGTGGTACCGAGGCTATTGACCGGTCATCGAAATGCACATCAGCCCAATTGGTGAGAAATCTGTGGTTGGGGGCAGCTATCTCCAGGTACGTTGTTCCCATTCCTTATCTACCCTCTCAATCTCTTCTTACCGTGAGGAAGTGAGTCCAACTTGAGTGTCCTCTCTTTGGYGAGGAGTCGTGTGCGCTCTATCTTGAGAGACGACATTCTTCCCGGTGGCGCATCTGGCAGGAGAGGGCGGTGCCTCTGAAGGGCCCTGGTCGAAGCACGGGTCACAGTCACCATGCCAACCCATGGGTATTAGTACACGCAGGCCATGCTGCTTTGTCCATTGAGGCTCTTTGCTGCGCTGATAGAAGGGGTGTGTGGACTGACCAGTCCTATTGAGACGCTCCCAGACCGTCTATAAACATTTCTGGTTGGGGTCTGAACTGTCCACTGGCTGTGATCGTCGTCTTGTTTGCGACGTTAAATAATTCCTGAGGAGATGGGGGCTCTACTTAAATCCCTCCTGATCAGCCAGATCAGTCAGACGTAAGGCTCGTTGCACGCGAGGGTAAACAAAGGGGCAGGCTGGTCATAAGCATACTTCTTGGGCACAGGGGTGGGCCGTGGTTGCACACCTTAGACACCGCAGCTTGATGATGCTCACAGGTACGCTGGATACAGGGGAAGGGGATTCCAATTATGAACTCAACTGTACATCACTGACATATCCATTGTGCATACATCTGTTCACATTAGTCTAAGTTTTATTCTTTGATTAGTTGGTTGACCGACTGCTGACACCTAACAGACAGACTAGAGTAGGACTGTGATCTACCATAGTCAGTTCTTCTCGAATCTTCTGTGCAGACTAATCAGAATAGACTTAGACAATGTGTACAGTTTGTGTAGATGCTGTTGATGCCGCTTGACTAGTAGGCTAGGTAACTCGCCGAACATTTATTTATTTGTTTATTTTTAGATCCGAACAGACGCATGCTGCGGTAGGTTCCAGCGAGGACATTAGTGCAGACACCGTCTGCCTAACCTATGAGTGGATCAGAGGGTGGTGAGGGTGCAGATGACGATAGGAGGTTAACAAGGCTATCATCCCTTAGAATTCCCAGAGTGTTCCAGACCCTACAACCGGGAGAAGAGAGAAGATTAAGGGCTGAAGTTAGAGCCCGTAATCTTGAGGCTGCAAGAGAAGCAGCAGCAGCTAGAGCGGTAGCAATAGCTACTTCCGCAGCAACTGCTGCGAACTCAACTGGTCAAGGGCTAGGCATGCCGACCAGTTCACAGTCAATCTCCAGTACGTCAGGGGTTGGCACTGGTCAAATGGCGGGCTCGCAATTCAGCTCGCCGCCTCCACGCACCCGGGAGCAGATGGAGCTCCAGCAAGTGGAGAGGATCCGCTTAAGGTTAGAGGAGGAACTTAGACAGGCTACTAAAAGAGAGAAAGAGATAAAAGAAAGAAGTGTCAGATTAGAGGGCCGGGAGGCAAAAATGGCTGCGCTAAAGGCATTAGAGGACTCCACACTTAACACTACAGGAAAGATCCTGAAGGCAAGTGTCCTGTCCATGCATGCGTACATAGATAGTAGAATGGACGCAAATGCAGGATACTCTAGACCAGATTTTGCAAGCGCTGCATAAGCCAGGGATCCGGCCAGCAACTTTACCATCGCTGCCACTCTCAGCGATGGCAGGCCTCTATGCAGCTCAATCAGGACCACCACCAAGTGTATCATCAACAGTAGCTCTATCTCAGACTATTGCTTCTTCATCTTCTGGTCCAACGACTGTTGCTACACCACAGTCGCCACCTGTCTCGCAACCGAGACAGCAATATCCTTGGTACCCCAAGACCCCACTGAACCCACCTGCAACCTTCTCAGGAGACAAGAAGGATGAGGCTCTCGACACATGGTTGAGAACGGTGCCAGTGTGGGTGAGGGCGAAAAGGACATTGGTAGAAGAGGAAGTGATTACTGCTGCATCCTACTTAGAGGGTTCAGCAGCCCGCTGGCTAAATGGATTGGTAGCTTCAAAGGGTTTTGGCAGGAACATGCATGATTGGGCGCAGACCTACACATTAGAAAGCTTTATGGACTTAGTGGAGGCTCGTTGGCACAACCCTCAGCAGGCACAGATTGCCACTGATGGGCTCTTGAAACTTGATACTAGAAAGTACAAGTCTGTGCAAGAACTCACCACAACCGTAGAGCGCCTGATCGTCGTCCCGGGAGTGGAGTACAATCCACAGGTCTTGCTGACCATGTTCCTGAGATGTCTTCCCACAGACATTAGGAATCTATTAGCCAGCGAGGCTCGCAGAGGGTATCACACATTTGAGTCATTCAGCAAGAAGGCCCTAGACTTAGAGGCTAGGTTGGGTGGAGCTCAAACCCCTTCTACGGATGGGAGAAAGAAGAAGCATCCACAAGAGTGGAAGAAGAAGGGTAGTCGATTGATGATGGTTGATTCCGATGGGAATCAAACCGAGATCGATGATGTTTCCGGTCTTGTGGAGGGTTCAGAGTTTGACGGCGAGGAGAGGCTGAGGGTAGCAACCTCGCCGCCGTAGTCAAGACTAAGGCAGCTGGTCGCGGCAAGGGCGGTCAACAAAGGAGTCAGGGGCAGGCCGCTAACCCAAACAAAATAGATGCTTGGGTTAGAGCAGGTCTGGATCAAGAAGTGTGGCGGGACCGTTGGTCTCGTGGTGCTTGCATTAACTGCGGTGAGTATGGGACACACACAGTTCAAATGCAAGAACCGAAGGTCTCGCAGAAGATCCCTCCTAAGGGTGGGTTTCCTTCTTCTCAATCTGGGGCCTCTACGAGCTCCAGCTCGGGAAACACTTAGGGCCA